TAAAGCCATTTGTCTGCAAGATTTGTAGCTAACCAAGCGCTTTTTCTCACATTTATTTCCTCTCCGATGGTATCGTGACAAATAACCATGGCCTGACCTTGTCTGTTCGGTTTCCTTAAGAATTACGTATTTTAACTTTTCATTCATTGACTTGCGAGTAGAAATTTCTACTTTTATTCACAATTATTTTACGTGATATGAGAACGTCTGCTCTTATATTATTTGACGCTAATTCTATATGGCTTTTTTTTTCGTATTTTACATGTTGGACCTATAACACGTATAAATCAGAATGCAAAAAATCAATCTTGTTTTTTCGATGCTTGGTATTTACAGTAAAATATGATTCGTCTAGATCGAGATTGTTAAGGTCATTTTTATTACAAGAAATTCTAAAATGAATAATAAATCAGTCTGATCATAATTGGATAGAATTTATGATAGAAGAGTCAAATCATTTAAAAATACTGTATAGTTGTTTTAAAATAGCATGGTTACCGATTTCATGTATTTTTATTTCAATCTGAATTCTTTTATTATAATTTCACAATCAACAATGACGTAATAATGGGAAGCAAAGATTATCACACTGCAATCTCAGATTCTCTTGTATGTGAAAAGAAAGTATATTTTGCAAACTCGATATATGTTCACATATATATTGTTTAATGTATATATGTTAGTCATCAAGACACATTATTTCAAACTGGTACCATTTATAATTCAGTTTCAACAGAGATTAGATTCTAGATGAGAACTTAAATCTAACTAAGACTCGGAATAATGAATTTAAATAATTATAGACAACTTAGACTTACGGCAGTGACTTAAGCACTTTCATTTTCTTTGCCCTTAAGTAATGATTACAATAATTGCTTGCTTGTCATTTAATTCAATTCATTTTATTATCAGTAATTACATGTATTTAAGTTTGAATATTGTACAAGTTTTTAATATGTAGATGGGAGACAATTAGATGGTTATTCATTCAATAGTAATTTTTCTATGTTACTAATCTTACTAATATTATAATTGCGAAAGTTTAGATGGATGAATGGATGGATTGATGGATGGATGGATGGATGTTTGTTAGCGTTTGTAGCCTAAACGGCTGAACGGATCTCTATGAAATTTGGCACAGGTTTAGAGCATAGTCTGGAAGAACACATAGGCTATTTTTTATCCCGGGAATAGTTACGGTTCCCGTGGGATTCATTAATTTAGTTTTTTAATGTTTACTCGATTATTCTGCAACGGTTCAACATATCTTATTGAAATTTGGCACAGATATAAAACAAAGTCCGGTGTACACATGGGATAAGCTTCATACCCGAGAAATGTCCGGTTCCCGCGGGATACGTAACTTTTTGTAATTTATTCAGTTCGTATGTTTTCTAATACCACGCGGACGAAGTCGCGGGCAACAGCTCGTTCCATATAAATGTCTAATACGACTTTGCCAGCGTAAATTAAAAAAAAATACAAAAAAACATAACCTACGATACATACAGATAAATTTTTGAAATCGGCCCAATAGTTTTTACGTGAATCGTATCAAATACATACAAAAATCCAAAAGTACAGATCTTTCATCTTTAAAATACTAGTATAGATATAGATTAGTATAGAGATAACTATATAATTCTGTATTTGAAACATGAACTTTTAACAAGTTCGTTATCGGATAATATGGTGCTTTACAAATATTTTCCCATTGTGATCACGATTGACATACCATTTGTTCGAATCGTGTCGACAGGTGGGCCCTAAATCTATTTATTGTTGATTCGAAAGAAGGTCGTTATAACCGGAATTAGTTTATTATTGACAACATGACATAACGATTACTTACACGGATGCAAATCAATAGTTAGTACACTTAATAATTTGTTACATAAACGGATCAGTATTGAACATTTTATTAATTTCTCTCGAACATGGCCGTTAGCGACATCTAGTAGTCATAGTACAATAGATTATAGCCAGTATTTATATTACGGACTACTGTTGTAAAGTTTGTCTGGACATTTATTTAATCTGTGTAACACAGGAATTAAAATACTTTTTTTCTCTCTTCACAGCTGCGTGTGAACATGACGTTTTCATTTTAAATGTATTTTGTAACGTTTCTTATAAAACGGTTAGACATGAAATTCTTACTTAATATTTACTCAGAAGCAGTTTTTGGTTGTTTTTGACCTACTATCCTAAATTTCTCAATACATTAACCTTAATTGGGGCAGACGGGAATTTAAATTCCAAATCTGACACTACATGCTACAGAACTATTGTACACAGAATATGATAAAATAAAATAAAACGTATTAAAGAGCGCATACCGTTGACTAAACTATCGCACAACTGTTTAGTCGCGCTTTGGTTCTAAACAGTTGAATGGGCTGCGAAACAATCGACAATCGCACAACAGTTGTGCGATAATCAAGCCAAAGATGTGGGCCGGCTGAACCATTGCCATCATAAACAAGGAATAACAATAAATCAACATATAACCTTTTAAAATTAAAATATCTTTATGAAATTGCGTAACCTCATCGTTGTATCTTTATAGTTTATATCGTCAAATCTAGATCTTTAAATATCTGTCTTAAATCTGGGTTTTATTGCCATTTTTATGATCGAATAGCTCGTTGATCTAGCCCGGTTTCACCGTCGATGTAACATGCAATCGTTGCTAGTATCACACGGCTTTATGAGACAATGTCACTTGCCGTGTTATGGCTACAACGTTTTATTATTTTTCATTCGCTCACGTTTTTCCTCGACACAGTTACGGCTCGCAGGAAACAAGGTTCGATTGTTGTGAAAGAACTTGGGAGTACGGATCAATTATCTATTATACTCCAATAGTGGTTACAGGATTGTCATCTGGGGATGGGAATTTACTTCATTTTGAGACCAAGACACGATTTTCGTATTGTAAATCTTTTTTTTATCCGTGAATTTTGTGGCAGTTTTCATCAACCAGTCCTAAAGTATACTTAAGTATCTGTTTGGTTATGTTTTTCAATTAAAGCTAAACCTAAACGTTGATGATAACGTAATTCTTATTAGAGGCCCGTAAATGATTCTTAAGGGACCCCTAAATTTGAGGAATAGTTAGTGAATATGCCCATTATAGTCTATAAAGTAATAGATTACATTATAGTAACATAAACAAATCCGAGAATTTGAAAACTATTTTAACGAAGTTTTAATTAAGCACCGTATATCCCGATCAATTCGGACCATTACAATAGGCTATTGTTTGAAATCATAATGAGTCAAAGGCCTTAATGAAACGTATTCCGTATAATTCACTGTTTGATACAGACAGCGCAATATTGTGCAACTTGTTAGCATGCCGCTGTTTAATTGAAATTATTCAACAATACATTTAAATTTTCAAAGATAAATTGGGGGTTATAAAATATATGATTATTAGATAGCATTCAATCAAACAAATAAATAATAGACACTGCATTTATATATTGTGTTAAAAACCTTTTACTCTTTAAATGAACTGACGATTAACTTAGTATCTTAGATCAGTATTTAGTGAAATAAGAATATATAATAATAAGAATATATAAGTAATAATCAAAGTGTGAGGTGGTCCAGCTTATATTTGTTTTGGAGGGAATATAACTTGGGACCCAAAGAGAATTTTAACTTTTAGCGCTGTCATTGAAAATGAAGCGACAAGTTGTTAGATTTAGGTAGAATATTCTTTTTTATCTCTTTATTTCCAAAATATTATAATATGGTTACTTAAGTTATTCCAACTTACGTGTAGGTGTCGCCTTTTAAACATTTATACAGAATATCATAGATGCATATAATATGCTCTCAATAAGAAAAATAATCTATAGCCTTCTGACTTCAACGATTTCCTATCAACTAAATTAACATCATTGTGCATCTGTCATTGAAACATTCACTGAGTCCAAGTCACGTGCAGTTTGTCTGTTGGCGCGTAAACAAAACAATCAAAGCGAACCGCCTCTGCGGATACGCCATCAGACACAGGCCTTCTCTTGCTTACTAATGAATGCTCCACATTACTAATCATACATCTGTGAGTTAATCCAACTGTGTTTTATTTTTATTGGCACCTCTTAACAGTTTAATAAATATTGGAAAATTAAGTGTCTTTTTTTTTTTTGACAATGTAATAGATATACTGACTAAACAGTAGTCAGTTTAGGGCATAGTGTTGTCTATTTTTTTGTTGTTTAATGATGCAACATTTTGATTTAATAACAAGATCCCTTTGACTATCCTATAGATAGCTTTTGCTTGTGACTTGGCCCGCGTCAAATTAAAAAAATTAGCCTATGTTACTCACAGATAATTTACCTTTCTAACGATAAAAGTATTTTGAAAATTAGCCCAGTAGTTTTTGTGTTATTTCAATATATACAAAACTACAAATCAGTCCTTTTTATTATATTAGTATAGATTATGTTTAAGAAAACGGACGTAAATTCTTATGTAATGTAACACGTAAGTTTCCCCTGACAACACCGTAATGATTACGTACACGATAAAGACATACAATTGTGATTAAATTGCACACTACGAGACCCTAAAGGCTTCCAGTAAGGCCGGAACAGAGCGATAATCTGCCCTAAGGCGAGGAAACTTAACACAAGTTCTTAGTGTATACTGATGAATTAGATGTAACAGATAACATTTGTTACTCCCACTTGCTTTCTAACTGATAAAAGCAGACGTTTGATCACGTGATAAAGTGCGTAAGTTCAATTCCAATGGATTTTAAAATTTTATAGAGTGATTCTATAAATCAATTAAATTCAGTGGCCAATTTGGCCTTAAAAAATTATATTAAAAGTATAGAAGATATAAAAAAATATTAACAATAATTAATTTTGCATACAAAATAATAATAATAAATAATTCTATTAAAATATTAATTATTTAATAGAATAATGCTTATGCATTATTCTTTATATTCTAGTAGTCTAATAAAAAAAACTTACTGGCTTAAATAATTTTTGTCACACAATAAACGAACACTGGCTGGAAATAAAAACAAATAAAAAGACCGCGTCCGATTCGGTACTGCGACGCTTGCAGCGAAAAGCGCTGTCACAGCAACGGCGAGGCGCGAACCAAACCGCGTGAAGGGAGGACAATAAACTTATATAGTTGACACGTAGCGGGGATGAACCTCAGCTATATCCTTCTAAAAAAAGCACAAATATTTGTGAGATACCTTGCTATGTTTAAATATATATCGCAAGAATTAACACCAAGTTATGAATCAAAACGCAACTAAATTAGACTAAGTTAAAGTAATGTAAACTGTGATGAACTGTGATTTTAATGTAATTAATTATGTTAAGTTAATTAAGTTTTCTTCTGACTAAAAAATGTGTTAAGGGAACGAGAACGGAAACGGGCAATCTAAACGCAATGCAACCATTGTATCGTCTTGGTGGAGAAGTTAGAAAAAAAGGGGACTCTTAAAAAAATTAAGTCTTTGCGGAATTATTTTGTTAATCAACGAATTAAGGTGTCAATTCAATCACAGTAATAACTTTCATTAAAATTCCCTTTTTTAATATTTCCTGACTAAAAGTGCCGGAAGCAATTATTACTTCTCCTGGAGGTTGTAAAAAAAACAATCTTTTTGAAGTTCGAACGTATTTCCGTTTCGTTATTGTGCTAAAAAACCTAAGCTCTTTGTTTGCAATTTGGTTTAGTCTACATCAGCAAAAATATTTTTGGTTCACTTCAAATATTCACAAAAGGTATATTAATAATCCAAGAAAGATCTTGTTATAAATAATTCAAATATAGTTTTCGGATTTTGATCCTCAATAGTGTTTAGAGTTAACTATCACTATCTACTTATTTTCTTTGCTGGTGCAATAATTATTCAATCATAGTCCAATCATAATTTCCGTCTGTAAATTTTAATTTTTTGTTAGTCTATTTTTCTAAAAATTATTTAAAAATTACAGTTCGTAATAAAATGAAATTCCCGTCGCGAGTCGCAAAGATTAATCAAGTAATTTATTATTTTAATAGGCTTTTTCCCATCGCGCTCTGCGGTGCCATAAAACAGAGGTAAAGTTTCGCGTTCCATGGAAGTCGCCACAAGATTGAACGTTACAAAATCAAGCTTAGAATTTTTAAGCCGAAGGGCGACAAAATTCTATTAAAATTCATAATAAACTCGTACATTTGTTATAGATATAATATCTAAATTGAGAAGCAAAAGGTAAGTATTGTATGGACGATTTTGGGAGATAGAGATCAAATAACCAAGAAAGTCTCAAGACGGAATTATGGACGGCTAAAAAGGTAGAGAAAAACCGTAGAAAGTATGGATGGCTTGTATGGAAGAGGATATGCTTATGAAGAGTGTGAATCCAGATATGACGGCGGACAGAGATATATGGAAGAACAGTATATAGAGTATGAACAGATTATGATGAAAATATACAATAAATGTAACATACAAAATCGTTATGAGGCACATTAAATAATCTTAGGTTCTTAGAGGTATAATAATAGTATATAGTACTTTGAAGTTTTAGCATATAAGTGTTTAATAAGATGAGTACGTACTAACAGTAAATAAACACTTATTTTATTATTTGATGATTCCAAATTCTTAGAAAGTTTGCAATGTTTTTACGGTTTAATGGAATCCATTTTCATCTATACTAATCTATAAAGAGGAAATTCGAAAACTACTAGATCGATTTCAAAAATCCCTTCACCAATAAATAGCTACGTTATCCCGCAGTAACATACGCTATGTTTTATATTACTTTTTAATTTGACGTGGAGGAAGTCGCGAGCAACAGCTAGTTGTATTATGAATTAAGTTTACGAATTATCTACTTGATTTTATTCTATGCACACCTTATTTAATGCGAGAAATTATCTGAGACTTAAATAAGATTGTAAAAAAAAACAATACTTAAATATCTATTGTAAAAATTAAAAAATAATATTTCCAATGATTAAAGTGATGTTTCTTCAATAGAACTTTGTAACTAGTTTACGCCTGATGATTTTGTTCGCGTTGATTCGGCTCATATAAAACAAGTATATAAACACTAAGTTTTCCTGTTCCGTTAACATCAATTAGTTTATGTAAATATTGGGCACATATTGCATAGTCTCAACTAATATGATGAGTCACAAATCGGGGTTTTTACAATGGTCCAATATTTATTTTCTAATATTATTTGGTAATATGACTAACTCTAATGTAGTTTATATCCTATTTTTCGAAATCGTGTGATTTTGACAGTTTGGACATGTCTTGATAAGATTTCATACCAAAGTCGTCATAATGTTTCGTCTCGTTTACAAATATGTAACCTCTACGCACCAATAAATGTGATTCTGAAGTAAAGGTCAAAGTGAATTAATGATAAGTATAACATTTATTATGAGGCAAACTAGTAGCCGGTTTCGAAATATTTCAGAGTATTTTTTTGAACTAAAAATAACCAACCTATTGCGAAATTAAAAACCGAAGCGAAAGTTGTCTTTAAAAGGAGATATTTACATCAACAGAAACTTTACTATTACTACTTAATAATTACGAACAATACTCGTTTGCTGATTTATTAGATACATTTATTGCTTTAATGAAGTTTAACAATTTCACACTAGGCAATCGCTTTGTTTCGGTTCATTAAGTCATAATGTACTAGCATTTCCTGCTCAGAAGCTAAATCAGATCTAATCACTTACTAGCTGTTCCCGTGCGGCTTCATCCGCAATTATGAAAATTTTATTTTATTCTTTACATTTGTCAAGTTATCAATAGCAAATGTCAAAATGACATGACATGACAAACATTAGCAATCTTTCTTTCTCGATGTTGGCAGCAATTTATGTTCTCTTTCCCACATTAGGGTTTTTATCCAAAATATTTACACCCTAAGTTTCTATCTATCTATCTATTCAGCCTTATGACGCCCACTGCTGGGCATAGGCCTCCCCCAACGATCGCCACGATCGGTAAGTTTAATGTAACCCTAAGTTTAATGGCGTGAAAACATATAGCCTAAAGAATGATGCAAGTCTATGGCTTTTTTATTAAATAAACAATTATTCAAAAATATGCTGTAATTGCTGACATCTTAGACAAGAAAGAAGTGTGTGTTTACGCTTTATTATAATAGTATAGATATGGGTATATAAGCCACCTATCACAACTTCGTCTGCACGGGAATAAACGTAGGTAACAGCCTCTGTGCTCTACACAGTAATCTATATCTATGCTGATATTTCATCCAGATCTATCAAGTCGTTTAGGAGTTACGTACTAGCAAACATCAATCCATCTTTCATAAACTCTAACATTGGAATTTATACTTTGAACAAAATAAGATACCACAAATCTCTTAATGTTACTGTAGCCTGTAAAAGGATTATCCCTGTTAACCTTCAATGAAAATCTTAAGTGTTTTTTTTTTAATTTTACTCGTTGATACTTAATTACGTGTCCTGACTTTGCTCGACTATCTTCTAGTCGATCGAGTATTAGAACTATCATTTTATGTTAGAAAAACTGTCTCCAAATCGATTAATCAGTTTCAGTTTTTCCCAGACATATGTCGTGACATGAAGCTTTATATAAATGTTGCATTATCTGAGCAGAAAATACTAAATTTAAACATTATTGAAAAATAGAGCATTGTACTACTTCATTAATAATTAATTGAATATTGTTCAGTATCTTAATATATTATAGTGTTTCAGTATATTAATTTTAAGTAATTCCTAACTGTAAATAATAATACCGAAGTAAAGTTGTTCCAACCTTTAGAAATTCGTTGAATACAATTACGTCTTTTGAGTAAATAGGTTTTTCAATTCTACTAATGACTAAAATATTTAATTAATTTAGGCAAACAAAAATTTTCCCTTTTAATGTAAAAACAGAACATTTTACCCTAATAGTGTTTTGTGCCTTTCTTTTAAACGTAAAATATTCACCAAAGGAAATCAGTGGAAAAGAAAATTAGAGATCAAAGTGCTGAAGTCTGTTTAATTTTTATTATTGTAATAGAAGTATTTTACTGTAGCATTAATAACGATTTGAGATGTTGTTTCAATACTCTGAAATAAGTAAGCTTTAATAAAAAAAAAAATCTTAGAATATTTCATAGAATCATAGAAGCAATATTTGTGAGAGTAAATGCTCAATCATCGGCTTCGTAATTTATTAAAATAATTTAGTGAATTACATTTCAAACTACCTGTTGCTCGCGACGTCGTATGAAATTTTAAAATAAAAAAAATATATCCTATGTTACTCACAGATAAATTACCTTTCTAATGGTAACAAAAATCGGCCCAGTAATTTTTACGTGAATTAAATACATACAAAAATACGAATCTATCTTTATGATATTAGTATAGATGGTACAACTCAGTGGTTCTATATAGGTGGATATAGATGAATAGGTCTATACTTAGAATGATAGATTTAGCACCAACCAAGTAGAAAATAAAATAGGCACAAAGTACCACTGCTTATAGCCTATCCCTGTATAGACGTGAGTAGCGATAACCAAACTGGGACTGAAGATATTTCATCATAATATAATAATTAAAGTTTCTAGTTAACAACTCTCCATGTTAACAGAATTTAAACAAACGTACAAATTGAATTACTTGTTACCTTTAAACTTGTAAATGTACAATCAGGGTAAATATTACTAATTGAATTTTAAGTCGAGTTATATTTTGTTAAGCGAATTTTCGAGAAAGTCCTCGCAGATATTGTTGAGATCGGCGCGAGATGATTTGTTGCTTCAAACTTTTAATAAATAATTACGCAACAAGAATAAACTAACAATAAACTATAATACAAAGGATTTACATAAGCTACAAAGTGTATGTTTATGAATTCTTACTATTAAATCCTTACTCTATCGATCAAAGGGAATCATGGTATATTCCTAGATAAATAACTTGAGAAAAAAGTTTATAAATAAAAACCTTTTATACGATTTTATGAGATTCCACATTGTGAGAAAAAAATAAATCGGTTGATCTTTTAACATTGTCCAAGGATTATTTCAAGTATAACTAAAGAGTATTAACTATTATATTTTT